ATCTCCTTCGCGGGGGGATGACAGCTCGGGAAGGAAAATTCGCCGGGGGGAGGTTGAGAAAAATATTGGGGCAAGGGTGCCCCCCGGGCGGGCGCTGGGTCCCTTGCCCCACCGCAGGCATTGGCCTCGATTTGGACGGGCACTTGCACCGCGGCGGTGGCGCCTACATTTGCGGGGAAGAGACGGGGCTCATTGAGTTGCTAGAGGGCGAACAGCTTAGCCCAGACTCCCCGAGCCTCGCGGAGATTGGTCGCGTTGGGGTGAAAGCTTTTCGGACAGCTCACGCCGCGCGCAGATACCCCCCCCCCCCCCCCTGTGTGAAGCTTCTCTGACGCGTCTCTCGCCCCCTCCGCAGGCAAGCCAGGCAAGCCCCGCCTCAAGCCGCCTTTCCCGGCAAACGCGGGCCTCTACGGCTGCCCGACCACGGCGATGAACCCCCCACCCACCCCCCCTCCCGCCCCGTCCCGCCCTCACCCCCGCCCCCACTCCCACCCCCCCCTCCCGCCCCCTCCCCCGCCTCTCCTCGCCCCCGCCTCTCCTCGCCCCCGGCCCGCCGCACCCGACCCCGGTCCCCGCCGCCGCCGCCGCCGCCGCCGCGGCGCCGAGGCTCGACACGCCTTGGCCACCCCGTCCCGCAGGTTGCCAACGTGGAGACGGTCTCTGTGGCGCCGACGATCATGCGGCGCGGCCCCGACTGGTTCTCGTCCTTCGGGCGGAAGAACAATGCGGGCACAAAGCTGTTTTGCATCTCTGGCCACGTCAACAACCCGTGCACGGTCGAGGAGGAGATGTCGATCCCGCTCAAGGAGCTGCTGCAAAAGCACTGCAAGGCGCGCCACGCCTCCACAGACGGCGGAGAGGCGACTCTAGACACCCCCCGCAGGAAGGCGCGGGAAGGCGCCACACGGACATGCCTCCGCGAGGACATGCCTCCGCGAGACGCGACGACGCACACACGGCCGCCGGCAGAGAGTCGCCTCGCCCAGCGGAGCCCCTTCCCTGGCGGCTCTGCGCGCTTGCCGCCGCCGCCTCGGCCGCCCGACCCCCCCCCCCCCCCGGGTGTGCCTGCAGGACGTGGTTGGGGGGTGGGACAACCTGCTGGGCGTCATACCGGGCGGCTCGTCGGTCCCGATCCTGACGTCGGACATCTGCGACGAGGTGACCTCTCCCCCTCCCGTACTTTCTTGGGTATGGTGCTCTGGGAGCTCTACTCGGTCGAGACTATCTTCAAAAAGGTGGATGTGTTTTTCGACCTCTAAGCCTTCGCACATGTCAACGACTACCT